TTATATTCCTTAAAGCGGGTTACCGCTTTACCTTGATTGATCATGGTTGGTTTCCATAGTGTCGTCCGAAGTGATAGCCGTTGTTATCTTGACTTTAAGAAGTTATAAAAACAAATTTGGAACGAAAAATTTAATATATAATATTTTTTGCTTTACCTGTACATAAACCAGATAGACGCCAGTATGATGGACGTGCACGTGCCCGTTGCTGGTGAGTGTTGGGCGCGGGTGAGGCGAGGCCTTGGTCCAGGGGGAGGGGTACCACACATTGTGCGGCACGTTGTGCGGCATACGGACGAGACCGTTGCCTGAAAGTAACGTAAGATATATCGCTGACTTTCTAGAATAGTGAACTATATTAATAACATCAGGAATATAGTTTAAAAAAACTGAGAGGTGTCTGCCGCTCAAAATTGAGACATCGTGGACCGTGTCAATGTTGTCAAGTGGTTATTTAACCAATGAACAGCTCGGTGTCTCATTCACAATAAAATTTAGCATTTTGTAAATAAATTTTGGTAATAAATAAAAAAAGGAATTATATTTGACTGGACAACTATTCTTGAAAAAACATCGTTATATAGAATTAGGATACAGTTACGTGGAAATAGCATTAACTGTGTAGATTATTAGGTGAACCCTAAATTTACTTCATTATAAATTTAAATATTGAGTTTTCTGTGATAGGTACCATTGACAAGGCAATTAATATCACAACCATAACGACACAAAGTACCAACTTTATAATACCAATATAATTTTTATACGTGCCCTGTAATATCTCACGTAGTGTTCATCAATATCAAAAATTTAATCTCTTTAAATGAAGTCGGAAAGTTTCTTCAGGAAACTTGAGAGTCTCATACAAAGTTCTATTTTCTTAACTACAAGTAGAAAGCTTTTGTTCGGTAGTTGTGAACTACTGAACATTTGAGCTGAATGAAAATAGAGCAAGGATTAAGTTTCGTCCAAGTTTAACTTAAGTTTTTGTAAAATATATTTCGATATTCATTACTGTTACCATCAATTATATAGTATAAGAAAAAACTAGAATTAAACGAATTGTTCTAAGTTCCAATTATAGCTTTTACGTTTTGGAGGTACTATTAGGATTTTTCCTGCAGTGCCTTTACAAAATTTGAACCTAAAGTGAGATACACAACTTTAGGTCCTGTCAACGCTTATGTCAGTTTGCCAGCAATTGAAATTCGTAAATTTTTGCCAAGGAATAGGGAAACCCTATATCGCGGCTACGGATACATATGAACAAATTAAATAAGGCATTAAATCATTTATTGCTAAGTACACATGAAAATGACTTCTTGTTGGTTGGATAACTTCTGCATAGTTACGGCGTAACTACTTGTAACAGCTTAGTAGGTATTTCAGAATCATACAAACGAAATTAAAGCCATTTGAAAAATGTTGGTACTACTTACTTCAGTTCATATTAAAAAAATATATTGGTGCATGTAAAGTACCTATTGAATACACCGGGTTTCTTGTAAAATTTCGAAGTAAGTTTGTATTTTTTTTCTATCGTGAAAATTTTCAGGAATCGTGTTCTCACACCGTATACTAATCAGTGTATATCTTCAATTTTACTATATATTTTTTCCAACACAATTGATTCAACACTAACTGTTTTGCAGAATCAACCAAAGCCAATCGAGGTAGCATATACTCTTAAGGAAGACAACGTGAGGCAACCTGCGGCTTTCCAAAAACCAAGAAAGACATCTTAATAATCCTGGGCACTACGCGTCTGTTAATGCGTATACCTATTTAGTATAGTTAAAAGATACTTTTAGGGCACATCAAAATTAGACGCTTATAGAAGCTGCAGTGGCGTGACAGCAGCGCGGCTGCAGCGCTTCAGTAATTTTTAGTTCGCTAAGGGCCCACGCAAATTGGCGGACGGGAAGGCAAAGAACATAAAATGTATCATTCTATTTCTAATGAAATAAAGTATAAATCTCCTCGGGATTCAGTCGACGCTGAAACAGGGACGACTGAAAAACAGCGTCTGTCTCTCCAGAGATAGACATAATTGCTGAGTCGTATCTTTTTCCTCTTTTGCGCCACAATGCACACTTACCTAAAATAACTCAGACACTTGACACACACTTAAATCTAATTCTTAAGATTAAAACAATTTAGTCTTAAGAATTAGATTTAAGTCTGTATAGTCACTGAATTTAATGAATAAACGTTTTTGTTTATTTCTTTCTTGCTTTTTTCTTTAAATTGTAACACTTTGAGATCGACATCGGAGCATCGCGGAGCATTTCTCTAAGGATCTCAGAGCATTAAAATTTATACCTTATTTCAATTATAATAGCATAAAATACACATTGATAAATTTAATGTCCTCAGGCTTGCCGTCCGCCTGTTTGCGCTGGCCCTAATTGTGACTGCAAAAGTGTCACGCGCACGTGTCACAACAGTAGCGTTGCAACTGTGCTTTTAAATTTTGTATGGAAATTAGTTAGTTGCGCGGTTGCAGCGCCACAGTGACTTCACTGCAGCGCTTTTATAAGCATTTAATTTGAAGGCCCCCGTAGTCTTCCATGAAAGATACAAAGGCCTTAGCATTTTTAACTATACTTCGTTTATAAGAGACTCATCATCCAAGGTTGTACCTATAACAACGAAAATAGTTTACCTTTATAATGTGGGTGAATCTCTGTGTTGAGATGCGAGGTGTTACCGTGGAAGTGGGCGGCGATGAACGGTCTTCTGTAGCCCTGGTAGGTTAACCAATTATTATTACATTAATGATTTTCTTATAAATAGAAAACAATTACGCCTACATACTATTTTCCGATGTTGCTTTGATTACAACAAATTTATGTAATACAAAGCAAGTGTTTTATTTAGATTATCGTCATGTTGCTTAATTACTACTACTCACAATACCGACATTGACGATCAAAATTCAATATTAGTACCACCATTAATTCTAAGTGAAAAATAACTTTATACCCTTGGAAAAATGCTTAACCTTTTAGTTGTGTTGTATATGTACACGGGTGTTTGTAAATTACCTCATCCTACAACCTATAACCTCGCAGGACTGTACCACTAACATGATAGACAATAACTTTTTCACCTCACTAGCTCGGAAAGACTACTTTCTTTCTTGTTAGACATCTACGCACAAAATAGTTTTTCATCCACGCCATTTCCACGCTAGCACCCTAGTGTGGAAATAGCGTGGAATTTCAAAAGGTTTTTGAAATTCGAACTTGACGATGGACAGGTGCACCAAACTTTTTCTTTCGATGAAAAAAGAAAACATAATGACACGTTCAACTACATACGCGATATGTGGTACATTATATATGTAATATAAATCCGTTGGTACATTGACTTAGAATTATATGGACGTCGGGTCCGCGCTAAAAAGTGTCCGCACTTGTAAGGCGCTAAAATCGTATACAGAGCGCGACACTCCGCTTTAGTCTTCATTTGTTCTACGGACAGCGCGATACTGCGATGACATTACAATTTAAATTTCGAATAGGTTGACTTGGGACATTTTTTTCGTGGTTTTTGTATTAGATCCGTCGTCCATTTATTTGTAAGTCAATGCGTTGGTATATATTATTCTTATTGTTGTTGACAAATTAATTTTTCATCTAACATTTCCCTCGCTGTAGTGAGGTGAAAAGTTGTGTGTTTCGCTCGGCAGCAAATTTGTTTTGCATCACGTGCCTTGTAACCCTAGCTACGCTCAGGATTCTATTTTTGGCTTGCTTAGGTTTCACTACAAGCATTCGCGTTAAACTCAACTTTGCGGCCTTGCATAACAAATAACTATTGTTACATACGTTTCTCTGAACCCTAAGTAAGTACCTAAAGCACTTGTGTTATGGAAATCTGAAACAGCGACGGTACCACCAACACCCAGACTCGAGACAATATAGTAAAAGTAAGTTTCTACATTGACCCGGTCGGGGATCGAACCCGGGACATAAGAAATGGCACCAAGAAAACCAGTGTGCAAGCCACTCGACCACGGAGGTCATCAAATATACAATAGATGCTATATATCTGGTTATTATATATAATATTTTAATAGAAAATCTAAAATTACCTCTTCATCGCTCCTGATGGTTCTGGTAACCCCATGTAAAGCAACTTTGGCAGGAGAGAATGTTTCCGTGTTTGGCGAAAACTTCTTCGTTTTACGTCTGTAACAAAATCAATTTCATTTGAATACATTTCTCATTGTTATTTTAGAGTTCGCTCAAGATCTTGTAGCTCCATCCTACGCATTGCGACTTAGAACCTGTAATATGGTTCACGTTAAAGAAAATTATATACCTTTACAACAATAAGTTTTTTTCTCTAGAACGTTGTTCTAATTAAACTACTTAGAGTAACCTTATGCGACCTTAACTAGTGGGAACGCTTCGAATAAATTCGTAAGACCAACGACAAAGCCGGAAAGCAAGTTCAATCTAAAAATTCACAGTGTTGTTTACTAGAAAGTATTTATCATTAATTGAATGAATCGATTTGTTCAATTGAGTCATACTAGCGGTTTTCCTTACATAACCTATATAAGCATACTTAAAATTTCCTCCTCCAATCCTCCTTCAAATCCTTACACTTCAGATACTCGTTCGATTGCGTTTGAAATGTTCGATTTAATAATCGATTACTAAACTTTTATTTGATTGAACCGAATGTTTTTTTTTAGAACAGCACTATGCAACCATAGGCAAGTCATAGAAGTGTAGATGAATAATCACCTCACTTTTGGACTACCATTTTTCAAATAGGATTTTACAATGCTATTCTAATGAATATTGTTGGAAAAAGTGATGATATATCAAGTCGAAATCTTCGAAATATACGTGAAAGTGTTACTTATTCGATTTCTTGAGTGATTGCTTTAGAATTTTAACCAAACAGGTTTTTTTAAATTTTTTGTTCAAAATTACACAACAGACTTATAGAGTAGGTGTTTCTGTGGGCATCCTTAATAAGTTTGTGCTTGAGTGGGCGGCATCTGGGATGATACAAAAGCAGTGTTTTTGTTTAAGAGAGTATTGAATTTATTAATAATTAGAGAAGAATAAGCAACAATTATGGTTCAGTGAAAGTTTTATTATACTATGTTGCAAAAATAACACAGTTTTCATACGGCTTTCGTAATACTTGCCACGACGGTACTGCTCCACGAATTCTGAGGAGATAGTGAAGTACAGCAGTCTTAAAGCCAAACATTCTTAGGGTCGAGTGGTTGTACTCTCGCCACATAGAAAATTTAATTTGTTTGCGGTGAGAGTGCCAACCGATCTGTCGACCTTCATAAAGGTTTCGCCAGCACCTTACCCTTCCAAATCGGAACGCAATAATGTTCACAATTCTGATTGGCGGCAGAAATGGGTAGGGTGGCACTACTTCCCTGGACGAACTCTTTCACAAGGAGTTCTACTGCTACTAATTATACTATGGTCTAGTTGTCTACCCGAAAACAGCAAGATAATGCGTTATGTGCACTAGTTTACGCCTCAGCGACAGGATGTATTCCAATAATTCCGTACACACACAGAAGGGGAAAGATACAGGTTAACATTGTACATCTTATTTTTCCCTAAAGGCTAACCTATCAATACATTAAAATAGATGGCTATTACAGAATATTTTTCTAAAAGGTCACCTTACGAAAGTACCTTGTAACTTAGTTGACAAGAAGGACACGGTGTATTTTTAGATGTCTGTGAAAAATGATCTTTTCAATACGTTCAATGAACACTACGCCAACTTTATTTTTTTGGTCATTTTCATTCAGTATCACTTTGTAATTAATCTAATAAACATTTTCTTTAGAAATGGGGGCACAGATAACTAAATATGAAAGATCGTTATACAGTGTCAATTTTATTTATTAAACTTTACCTGCAATACATAAAATAGATAAAAGTTGCTATAGTGTTGTTCCTAAATGATTCGGATTTTTTATTTTATTTTCTTTATAGGTTTTGCTCAGTTATTTGAGTGTTAGGTAATTTTTGGCAAGTTCTTGATCATTACGTATTGTATTGTAACAGAACAGTAGAGGAGTCATGTGCTTATTTCACATGCTCGTTTTGATATGACTTAGTAATTACTTTTAGATTTTTATTATAATGTTTGATATCGAGTTCTTAGGTTTTCGCGATTGTTACACATAGGAAATGAAACTATTTTTCCGGATTTAAATCGCGTATATTTGTTTTTTGAAACAAACCGACGTTTCGGGTCCTTTACAGGTCCCATGGTCACGGTTGACTGAAAAAACAAATATACGCGATTTAAATCCGGAAAAATAGTTTCATTTCCTATATAATGTTTGATCTTACCAATATTATGTTTCTAGTTCAATGTGTATAAATGAGTAATGGTGTGATTATTAAAATACAGAACATATGACCACCTAACTTCAGTAAACTTTATTTTGCGCGTAATTCAAGTATGTGAAAGAGTTCGTCTAGGAAAGTACTGCCACCTTATGTATTTCTGTCGCCAATCGGTAATGTGACCATAACTGTGTTCCGGTTTTGAAGAGTAAGTGTGCTGGTTAAACTACAGGCACATGTGACTTACCAACTTAAAAATATATTAAGTTTATAATCAAATAAAATCGAGTTCGAAAAATACGTGTTGCATCTTATCGTATCTCTTGTTTCCCTCTAACTCACTGTTTAAGCTCAGGCGGAAATAACAAAATCGTTTAAGATCTCTTTTATAAACATTACTTTTCGAATCGTAAATACCAGGCAATAATGAATTTTAATTCGTTTGTGGTAAGAGTGCCGACCGAACATCTGTCGACCTTCATGAAGGAGGAGTTTTGACCGAAGGGTGTCGTACATCGTTTCCACGGCCGGTTACCTGACACCGCACGTTGCCGACTAATGTAATTCGTGTAGATTAGTTATATAGTTTTTATATTATATCATATGTATGTTAGTTCTTAAGTTATATATCGCCTGCTTAAAGGTAAAACCATATAAGTGACATTTTCCACAAATTTATGTATCTGTTGTAAGAAAATCACTATCTTTCTGCAGATAAAACTCTTATTGAGTTCATAGCTTTTCAACCAACTTCAAAAAAGGAAAAACTTCTCAATTCGACCGTATGTTCTTTTTTTGTATGTATGTTACGCGATAACTCCGGTATTTGTGAACCGATTTTCATGATTCTTTGTTTGTTGGAAAGAGGATACTTCCATAGTAGTCCCATTTCATTTTAAAGAAAATCATCCACCTCTAAAGGTGGCTGTTCACACATGAAGATTAATTTTTATAAATAGCGCCTAAATTTTAATTAAGGAGCAATTATTTTAATGGTTGATTTTGCTATTTCTCCAATTCAAGGCGTTTTTCTCTCAATATACTACTCAAAAGTAGTGAGAACCGATTTTTATTATCTCCAGTGTCAAATCCTGTATAGTAGCGAACTAAAACTTAGCAAATAGACGTCGATTTTTTTACTACTCTGTACTGATATTATTTGTTATTGAGCTTCACGTGCAGAAACATTTTCGTACCATAAGCTATATAAATTAAAGACTTTTTGTGGAAAATGTTACTTATGTGGTTTTTTTAACTTTAAACAGACGATATTATACGGGCCATAATTTGTCTGACGCAAAAAAGTCTAACAAATTTCTGTAAAACCCAACACAAAGATCTATAACAGAAACATGAGTTGGCAGAGTAACGCTACGAAACAGCGGCAGCGCAGGTCGCAGGTTAAGTTCTTGTCGCATTGTAGGAATTTTTCTTCGTGTTCGATCTTTGTAAGAATCAATGCTACCTCAGCTCCGCGACGAACCGCAGGGCATGGCACACTGCGCTCCGCACTACCGCAGACTTTTAAGCTTAAGGACATGTTCAGTTTTCTACAAAAGATCTCGACGTCGATAAATTTATATTTGCTATTGAAAATCGACCAAATTTATCTTCATATTTTCTTAAATCTTTGTAATGAAGTTGAAATTATCCATTTTTCGATCTGGTTCGTAAAAAGGGATGTATTCAATATTTTCGGTGTCTTTTCATTTGAGTAAACAAAAACCAAATAGACTGTATAACTGCAGCGTCCTGAATGAGTTCTGCATTATTACCCATTCTTCTCAAAGAAGGATTTGGCTAAACATATATACAAGCACTACGGCTATCAATTGCGAAGCGAGTATTTTAAGTGACGCTAGACCGCTGCCTCCGCGCAGATTAAACAGCGCGTGATTCCGCGTCCGCGCTCCGTCTCAGGGCGCGGTGTAGTGTGATAATCGCCTAATACTATATAATTTTTCCAAAGTGATTTATTCAACATTTTGACTGCTATGCGGAACCAACCACAGCCATTTGAATAGACTTTTAATAATTATAACAAACAAATGGAGTCATTTCACAAAAAAATATTATTAATATTACGGTGGTAAGACGTTGCGAAATTCGATAAATAATCTATAATACCTTTATTTGTAAGTCAATGATAATACCAGTACAAATTCAAAATTCAAAACTAAGATTTTAAGGTTTTAAATTATTAAGTACAATAACTGACAAATAAAGCAGGACAATTATATAGGATGGCTTTATATTTATAGTGGAGATATAATTATAAGATTAATTCCAAAATAATTGTACTCTAGTGTTTCTATATCACATCAGCGTTCATGTAAATAACGCACAAACAACTATTTCATTTCCAGCATGGGGTGACGACTTATGTTCTCTTAACTGCCGAGAACAAGATTTCCCAATTAAGAGACCACAACAATCAAACTTCTGGCATCAAAGGATATAAATGTAATGTAGTAAATAAGGAATAAAAAAAGGAAATAAATGTAATGTAGTAAATGAGAAGCTTCTACTGTAACGAGAAATTTTAAGGGTTAAAACATGACAAAGTAATCTAAAACATCATCAGCTCAAACAAGTATAAATTCCAGTTTCAACTAGTTTTCAACAATATCGTTGGAAACTTCTCCTGACCATTATTTAGTATACACTCATCAAAAGTGTCTAGGTACTTATAATTATTAATACAAAGATCGAACATTCAGAAAAAACACTCAGAAAAAATTCCTTCGATCCGGTCGGATCCGAACCGACGTCTTCTTGCATACCGTGCCAGACGCTATACCAACTAAGCAACGGAACGAACCAACGGACCTCACGAATTTTTCTATGTGCTTGCGTCGTGTCTTTGTACTTGGTCTTTCAACGACTTTTTAGTCGTAGCGCCATCTATGAGAATTCTATTACAGATTTATCACCCAGTTAGAATCGAAAGATCGAAGGATTTTTTTCTGAGTGTTTTTTCTGAGTGTTTTTTCTGAGTGTTCGATCTTTGTATTAATAATTATAACAAACTAGTGGAGTAATTTCACAAAAAATAATTGAATATCAATTCAATAAAAATTTCATTAACACAGTGAATAGCGACATCTCTCGCCAGGACTGGTAGCTGTAAAGGTACTAACTGGGTGATAAATCTGTAATAGATTTCTCATAGATGGCGCTACGACTAAGAAGTCGTTAAAAGACCAAGTACAAAGACATGACTCAAGCACATAGAGAAATTCGTGAGGTCCGTTGGTTCGTTTCGTGGCTTAGTTGGTATAGCGTCTGCCACGGTATGCAAGAAGACGTCGGTTCGAATCCGACAGGATCGAAGGAATTTCTTTTGAGTGTTTTTCTGAGTGTTCGATCTTTGTATTAATAATTATAACATACTCTAAAGTTGGCAGCAGTATTCTATGCACAATCGTTGACACACTTGATAGATCTATAACATTCGCTTCAGTTTCTGGAACTAAGCAGGGTGAAAAATACATATTGCAGCGATTTCATACATTTCAAAAATATACTTATCACGCATGTATAAAATAATAAATATTAGACAACATCACATACGTTGCTCTGTTTCCAAAGTCAGTACCTAACTAAAGCACTTGACGAAATCGGTAACAACGATGGTATCACAAAAATCCAGGCCCGAGACAATAAAGAAAAGTTACTTTTTCTACCTCTACAATGACCCGACCAGAGATCGAACCCGGGACCTTAGAGACGGTGACACCCTGAAAACCACTCAAGCGCAAGCGTGCTGCAAATGTGCAAGGCCCTCAATCACCTAGGTCGTCGTTGTTTAGTTGTTCTACATATCTCTGGATCTTTGATACATTAATTCTATCTTTTCATTCATTCCATCATTTTCCTCTAGACATTAAATCTATAATTCCAACTGTACATACTAAGATCATGTACGTAAGTACAAGATACCGCAAGGTTGAGGTAACGTTAGTAAACATTAGGGACAGACCTTCAAAGTCATATTGCGAGCACAATGAACGTTGCGGCTTATACATATTTTTGTACCGATTTACTTAGTTCTGAGATTTAAGAAGCTTACTTTCAGATGGGATTGTGGTGGTACGTGTTTTATCAGACCGCAGAGAATTAAAAGGAAAAATAGAAAACTGACCAGGTAAGTAAGAGGATGGTGTCAAAATAGATTAACGCAAATTTCATAATAAATATTCAGTGGAAGATTGTCTATATTCAAATGGACGAAAATGATGAATGAGAAATTTTAGAAAACTGACAAGGTGGAATGGTTTCCAATAATAAATGTCAAGCGTAACTTTATCAATAATAAATTGGACGAAAATTATTTTATATGCAAAAATTTTAAAAAACTGAAAAGATGAGGATGGTTTCAAATTAGATTAACATTATTTTAATAACAAATGTGAAGTGCAATTATGTCTATAATCAGTTGGACGAAAATGTTTTGCAGCAATTTATGTTTTAATTATAGAGGTATATTAAAACGCGTACACACTCATAGCCCCATCCATCAAGTGATATTGTGGACAAACGTCAGCCGCGTCTGCGTATCAACGTCACTGGGCTCTTTCTTAAGCTTGTAAGGAATCTAGATTGTTATGTTCATATATTAAGTTTGTTTATTATTTATGTGCTCAGACGTTGAATGATAGATGCTTTCAATATCGGTATTATTACAATTCCTATTTTGGTTTTTCATCATTATTTTATTTTCTGTAATTGTTTGTACTTTCAAATAAAATCTTTCTTTAATAATGATAATTTAGCACTTTTTTCTATCAATAATATTTTCGTTGGAAACAAGGAAAATCCCAGGGTCACAGAAGACGTGGCTGTAGAAAAACCACGGGGCTCCAAAGTGTGGAGAGTTGTGTGGTACTCATGTTGAAAAGTGGTTCAAGATGAGTACCACAGAACTCTTCCGAGACGCAGCTTCATGGACCTGGGGGTCATTATTATAGCCGACATCCATCCAGTGTATGGTGACCTAGATATATGTATGTCTGTGTTGATGACGCACCAAGAAAGAGAATATTTAAGTGTCAGTATTCTCTACTACAACATAACTTTATATTAATATTGAAATTTATACCAAAGTATGGTATAAAGAGTCGAGTTGGTATTTTACACAGATAAATATTTGTTAAAGCTTAGCAAAGAAACCGAGCGCAAAAGCAATTTATAAGTTTAGTTTGTGCTAGATAAAAATTCGATTATTAAACGAAACGATATGTAAAAATTTTATATTGAAGATATTTGATGTAAATTGGGGCCAACATTTTCGAATCCTTTCCTGGTTGCAAGTTCTGAAGTTTATAATTGGTTTCAGAAATATATGGGACTTGGCTTTTCACTATCAAGTTTTTCGCAATTGAAGTTTAGTTCCGAAAAAATATAGTTTCATTTCCAATGTGTTTGCTACATATTTATTTTTTTAACAAACAAGACGTTTCGGGCTCTTGATATGACCCATGGTCACAGCTGACTCTGAATATAAAAAATAGTGTCATTTCACTTTAAACTTCAACCTAGTTTCTTAGTCGAAGAAAATGCATGAGTTTGAAACAGATTCATCTAGATTTCCTTAAGTCCTATGCGTCTTTGTCTGTGACTGTAAATACAATATTCAAGATACAAACCTTTCGTCAGACTTAGACAGGGTCTTTGGAGTCTGCTTAGGCTCGAAGGACTCGACAGCGACAGCTGGGACGATGCTGCGCTTGCTTCGCGAGCTGTCCTCGTGGTTTGGCTCTTTAGTGGGCTGGGATACTTTGAACGCTGCAACATAATTTTTGTAATAAGTACAAATGGAATGGTTTTTATGACGCTTAAATGCTAAATCGTCATACATGCACTTTTCATAATCTATAAGGTCACATCTGCAAAATAATCACTTTTCAGGAGAGAGGTGCACCGATTTTACGAACGGAATTAGTTGATAACTTTTTATTCTTAAATGGGAGTTAAAATTTCTCAATGTATATATTTGTTTCATGTATGTACTATTTTTATAACTTTCATGTGATAAAAATACTTTTGACATATGATCAAATGTTGCTTTATTATACCCGCAGGGGCACGAAATACTGGTCCACAACAAAGTCAATAACGTAAAAGTATTTGACCTATGCATGCATTGGGATGCATAGAATCTCCCCGTGTGGCCCACCGAGACAAAATATTATGCGCCCGGCGCGCCCTGGGTAACGGTCTGCGGACGGCGGCGATTCGGTAGCGCAGACTGGCCGATCCTTCCACCACGACTCCACGGCGAAAAATATTATTCCCTAACCGCCCTTCTCACTCAGGGCCACCAAAAAAGCCCTTGGCAAGGCTCAGACCTCATGAGGGAACAAAAATTTGTCAACACGCCAAGAAGAAGATCATTCATTCATTCATTCAAGAAGATTTGACCCATTTACGAAATATGTAAGTACGCTTTGCGACTTGGTTACCAGGAGAGCACTAGAATTCTATATCAATTGCCATATTTGCTTGGTAACCCACGATCCTTGGCTACAAACCTGGAAAATATTTTTGTGAACGAGAACTCTTTGACAAAATATTGGAAGAGTAGTTTCGGATCGTATGTCGGATCGGACACCTTCTGGTCCCTGTCATTCACTATTCTCATATCCTATCGCTATAGACATTTTCGTACAAGCATATTTTTTGGCTTGACTTCGACTTCGTCATTGAGACCGTGTCACATAATCCATTACCGACCTCCCACTGTGTCGCGATGAATTAAAGTATCTATAGGTTATTATGTGTATAAAGTTCATTTACTCGTGTTGAGCGTCCACGTGTGTATGGTTCACAATAGAGATAAATTGTTTGTTCACTCCTGACACACTTCGCTTTCTTCTTTCGCATTAATCTTTCCACACCACGTCCTTCACCTGGTATTTTAAAAGACATCCACAATTCAAACTCAAACGCGAATAATCTTTATTTCATAAATAAGCAAATTACACTTGAAATCGTTACATTGGTTAAACTGTACTTATGTACTACACATTCATAAGGCAAATTTCCCAGAGAAAAATGAGTAAGAAACTCTAGGGCTTGCTTTTGGTCAATAAACATTTGTAAACGTTTATCATTTACAATATTTATTACCGTTCACATTCGGCATTTTAAATAGGGTCGTTATTCCATAATATGACCTAACCATTCCAGCATTCCCGTTTTTGTGCTGGTCACTAAATCATTTTTCACCCCACGCTCTCTTATTACACTGTTTGTAATGTCATCCACCTACAGGAGGTACGCTACGCAATGCTCAATTCGAAATTCTCATTTGAATTCTATTTTTCTACCAACATTCACTATCATATTTAACAACAGCCAGCTCTTTTCTCGACGTCTTCCTGTAGGAGCTATGGATGGTATTGACAATTCAATCTTTATAATCCATGTACGTTAATAAATGACTTATCGCTATGTAGTACATTTTTAAACGTATATTATTCTTGATAAATCTTAATTAGTACGATTTTTTATGCAATGTAATCAATTATTTTTTAAATTTTCATTAATATCGAGTTCTTAGGTTTTCGCGATTGTTACACATAGGAAATGAAACTATTTGTTGATTCAACCGTGTAGTCAACCGTGACCATGGGACCTGTAAAGGGCCCGAAACGTCGGTTTGTTTGAAAAAACAAATATACGCGATTTAAATCCGGAAAAATAGTTTCATTTTCATTAATACTTATATTTGTTCCCATCTACACGTTCACCGTTCAAACAAAAAAATTTATACAAATTTACAAGTTTAGAGTCTGTTTATACATCAAATAAGCTGCCTTAAACATATCGAAATGAAAACCAAAAATGTTTATGCAATGTACAGTCTCCATAAGTTACAAATTGAGGTCGGGACCAAACTATGTATAAGTAGTACTCATGTTATTACTTATAATAATAGTTGTGTCAGCAGTCCTCGAATTCCTCAGACATACTTTTCAAAGGACTGAATTTAAATATATCGATCGGCTTTCTAGAATAGCGGCCTATCTCAAAAACATCTAATTCTTCTTGAAGGTTTAAGACGTTAAGATTCGCCCAATGTTATACGTTAATATTTAAAAACTCGGTGTTTTATTTACAACAGAAATTAGCTCATTTTAATTACTATTACTGTGTGATGAATATCATTTTGTAATTGGTTTTATCATAAAAATATGAAAAACCTTTATTTCCCTGCAAAAAACTTTGCTTATGTGGTCAGGGGGCCAATCGCGCTAATTGTCAAAGGTTTAACCAAAACCTCCAACCTCGCCAATCTGACACGTTGTGTACATTTCGTATCGCGCTAACTGTCAAAACAAAAACCTAAGCCAAAACTTAGACGTGTGACACGTAACGCACATTTGGTATCGCGCTAATTGTCAAACGTAAAACCAAAACCTAAAATGTTGCAAATTGGTATCGCGCTAAATATTTTGACATTTTAACCTCACATGTAACCTTGGGGGAATAGATTAACCTTTGCAAGGTCAAGGTTTGTGTGGCAGTTAATGGAGAGTAACTTTTCACTACGTTTATCGTATATAAAAGATGTTCCACGGTTACTTAAATGTTTTGGAAAGTGTTTATGAGGTGGATGTGGCTTAAGAACGGGCTTTAAATAAAAGAAAAGCATAGAAAGACGATCACATTTAACATGTCTGAGGAGAAATTCCGCAAACGATATACCGTTTGTCCACGGAATTCATTTCAGGATTGGTGGAAGAACTATGCCTACATATTCTCGTTAAAGGACGGTCTGTTGCATTGGATGTGGAGACAAAGGTAAGGGTTGAGTGGAATCCGAAAGTTCTCAGTTTTGCATAATAACCAAAATTTCTATACTGTGTAAATCATTATTAATTTTGTTACAGATTTTAATAGCTCGTATAGTTTTTAACAACTGGGGCGTACCAGACCCCCATTGGCAAGTGCTTATCACCCTTTCCCAAGTCAGTGTCAGAGAGGCACAAGCGGTAGCTGCTTCAAATAAACCAGTTATTATGAATAAATATGCAGCTTTCCTAAAAGGCATGCCGAAAGAGATGGTATTAAAAGGCGGTGAGAAAATAAGCTTTACAATGTACATCATATTTATTAGTTCTTGTCTTATTTCCTGTTGTTATTATCAAATTAAAATTACAGGTATAGGTAAAATATGTATAGTTGTATAAAAATATATTACAAGGTTACAATTTATCTCTTTTAACACTTGACTTTATACAACATATCGTCCCCTTACAGTGAAGCCTCACATATGCATTTTCAGTTTGTTTTTACTGATTTTTGTTGAATAAAAATTAATAATGTAATAATATAGTATCTAAAGAGGTATAATTTAAGTAATTAAAATGCTAACTACACACATTATTGCATTTACTATACTTCACACCATATTTTTATCTTCATCCTAAAAAATTACATAGAAATATGAGGTATTCCTTCTAAGATGACGATGTATACCTATTGTAATTGTTTATTATCTTAATATCTAAATTGATGTATACTTTTAAGAGGTTGAAATAAAAAAAAGAGTGTATTTTTAGTTTATTTATTATTATTGCCTCAATCTACCCCAAATCATCCTTCATTTCCGGAGCGAGCTTGCTTTTGATTCTTCAAAGAAGTCTGAAACAAAAATATGTATATAGGAAGATTGGAGACCTAAATTTAAGACTGTGCCATACCTCTCATGAGAGTAGTGACAGATAAAGCAGGATGGGTATTTATATACATACAGTATGAAGCCAACATAAACGCCAGAATGTTTAGGGGCCTTTTCAAAATACATTTAAAAAAATGTTTATATCATTGTGGAAATATAAAGGGGACAAAAGTCTACAGATTAGACCTTCGTTCCTTACGCTCTTTCAGATTTCCACAATTGAACATATCATCAGCAGGAATTAAGAAAACATGTTGAAAACAAACCTGTCATTCTTGTTAAATAGTCTATCAAAAAGGTTAACTGCAGGCACCAACTCGGTAATTGCTTTGCAAATGGCAGCTACGGATTGGGCATGCAGATCATCTGCTTTGGCAGAAATAATAGCTGCCTCAGCCTGCACCCTGCCATCATTCACTTGCTGCAAGAATGCTTCACATGCTCGCTGCTCCTCAATGCATAAGAATTCTACCCGGCTCTGCTCCAACGCTCATCAGCTCGCTGTCAACGAAATAATAGATGTGATGGAATAAAGAGTGGGAAAGAATTTGCTCAAATTGAAAGTTACTTTGTTTTTTAATTAATAATAAAGAGTGAGAAAGTTACTTTGTTATTGAATTGTATGTTTGAAGTTATTTTGTGCTAGAGTTGGTGTCCTTTAGGAAGGTTGGTAGGGCCTCTGCCGCAGTCGATGTGGCGTAGATTCTCACCCTGCTTTTCATACCATTCCATACCTGAATAACAATAATAACATCGCATATTATAGTGATATGAGTTCTGGTACAATAACGGTGAGTGATCCACTCACTGTATCCTATTACCTCGCATTATAGCTCACCTTTTGGGATCTATTGCGGGGCCACAAAATAGCCACACACTCGCACCAAAGGCGTGCTGATAACACGCGCGAACAACGCCGAGCGAAGTCATTCTCAAGCCAAATCTCTGTGCGATTCGAACTCCAGCAAAGATGGAGCTGGCTTACAGTGGTCGCTCGCCGTCCGACCGCATCCACACTGGCTGAAATACGAGCATCATTATTAATTCTACATTGCTAACATTTCGAAATTAATAGTAGTTAGCGTACCTATTTGATTGTATAAAAAGATACTATTTTATTAAATAGAATATTAAAAAAGGAAAACAATGTGTAGGTACTTGCCTCTGCGTGTTTTATCTACAACAACAACACACTAAATTCAATTAATTTGGTTCAAATCACAACACATATGTTTGTTTACAATAGAATTTAATGACATTTTTTTTACACACTTTTTTAAATCGCTCTTTTATAGACTTGAATTCGTAGATATTGACATTTCAGTGCGTTTTACGGTAAAATTTAGTCGGTTTTAGGAAGTCAAGGCACGTCTCTTAAAATTTAATACGAGGTTATAGTTTGAGGTTAATTTGAGGTTTAGGTTCATTAAAACTGATAGCGCGATTGCATTTTGTGCGTCGGTAGAACCATTAATTAACCAAAACCATAACCTCAAATGTTGTAAGGTTAAACCTTGCGAAAATAGCGCGATTGGCCCCCAGGACAACGAAGAGTTGAAATTTACATACCATTAAGGACATACAAATGTTCGGATTTCTCTCTAATTAAAGACAAAAATGGAACATAATTTTCGAATAATTACTATATTTCAACCAAAATTATACTAATTGATGACGAAGAACTTAGTTTCGCGAGATTATGTAAATGTAGCTATGTAAATACCATTGTGACACAAAAGTAAATTTTCAGGGATTTGTCTACTGTTTTTTACATACTTACTGCTCATTTAAACAGAAACCAATACTGTTAAACCAGAAACAGATCCTTTTTGAAAATTTGTTACATAGCGTTAAAGGTACTTGTGCAAAAAAATATATAAAATTAACAACTATTTTAATTTGGGTTATTCTTCTTGGAAAGCAACGATATGTTCTCAATCTGTATAAAAGTGTTAATAAAAAGAGGTATATATATATATAACATTTCTGAAATTATTTGCATCACGTAAGTAGTACTCGTGTCGCGTAATCCACTTATTGCACGCCGAACACGTAGCTCGGGGCCCAATGATTATCTCAAACACCTCTACCGACCGACAAATTAGAACAACTTATACTAAAAGTCTCGCAAAATTGGGAGCAATTTCTTGAAATCAACGTAACGATAAAGATCATTATATAGTAGGAAGATAAATAGCATTGCTAGCGGCATTGAAAAACGTGTTTTTCATCACACGTGCTCGTACACAGTGTGTATTTGGAGGCAAAGTCTGCCGTAAGATAGTAAATTACGCCCACAGGCTTTTGCATTGTTTTACCGCCCTAGGGCGGTCATGAATTTTTTAAATTTAATTTCCACTGTACTTTTCTATTAATCAAAAAGTTTTTGTACTCAAAAAAAAATTAAAAAAAAACTAAACAAGCAATTTTAACAAATTTTACTAAATTATAGTATTTGGAAGTGATTTATTTCATATATATACATCATGGCTGTATGTGTTTTTGCCCTTTACAACATTTTAGTTTGAGTTATATTATAAGTATAAGGAAGAATATCTGGCCGTCTGTATGTAAAAAGAGAACAACCGCCATTCGCAGAATCTGTAATTGATGTATCGTGAACTTTTCCTGCCTTTATCATTGTATTTATTTCCTCACAAGTGTGATGAAAAACATTGTATGCAGCACAGGCGGTAAAAAATAATTTCTTCTTTACGGGGAGTAATATAGAAATATACTGACATAAATATACAGATATACATATTATTACACAATGTACTGTTATTGCTGCACCTATCCTAAAAAGTTGTAATAAGCATAATGTCGGATATACTGATGTCAAGACGGAAGATAGAACATAATTCTTACTCATCATATCCTCTTTGTCGAGTAGCCACTTAAGCTCCCTGATGTTGGTTGAGTAGTCCTTCTTGCCTTTAGAGAAAGTGAGCACGGCGTCGGTGAAGTCCTCAGGTTTCAGTTTCACCATGTTTGTAGTGCCAACCTGGAAGTATTGTTTTGTTAACAATTTCATTCAATCAGATCATTGAACCACATTCGCTATAGAATCCGAATAAAATGTTGCCAATTCCAATGGTACTACTCTAGAAGTAAGATCTACCTGAGCTTATTTGATTTACCTTTATAGAACATGTTACTTTACGCGATTTGAAGACGAAAGTATAATAATTGTAACTTTTCCTTGAAAAAACAAAAACGACCTCGAAAATTTGCTTATCGGTTTTTTTTATTTCCTTGGGGTTTTCTCATCAGACTCTGACTTCTTGGTGACAATGGGACTATTACGGAGTCCTTTGTACGGTGACAGTGATTTGTTGATTACTTCTATTGTGTCAAGTGAAAAGTGGACTTTTATTGACGGAAAATATTTTTTAATTTGGAACAGTATCGTCGGTATTAGGGACCACCTCGAGAGTATACTCTTTCAAAAAAAAAAATAATTTTCAAAATCAATCCACAAATAACGGAGTAATCGGTGGGTACACCGACATGCCTGTAAAATTTGACGATTTTCCTCGATTTCCATGGAATCCCCTCATCAGATTCTGACAATGGGAGACCACGAACATGCACCCTTCCAGACAAAATAAAGAATTTTCAAAATCGGCCCGCAATTGACGGAGAAATCGGAAAACGTACATAAAACATACTCCTCCTTTTTTTAAGTCGGTTAAAAAGTTGAGTTGCAAGGATTGCTTTGAGCTCTGCACGAACGTTTGTTCTATGTTTTTAAACTGTTTTTTTAATTATTATTACGTTCCAAAGGGCTATTAAAATATCTTTAAATTTTCTATAAACTTTAAAGTTCTTTTCTATGAGCTTGTATTAAATCTTCTACATAAATGTACACTCTAATTAATTAATTTCAAAACCATATACGATAACAATAATAAGATAAGATACCATGTTCTGCAAAATCTACACAGAGTATACGAAAACTCACCTACGGGCACAAATGTGTTGCTTTTGTACAAAATTAGCCTTTGAATATTTCAAAGCATCAAAAGTTAGTTCATTTAAAATTCACTATTTCAACAATGCAAAACTCGTGCAGACAAGCTAAAAAGAAACATGAGGCAAAGACTTTTATAAAATGAAAACCTATTTAACATAACATCGACTTAAACTTTGAACTACTTTGTTTAAAAACTAACACTTTACCTATTAGTATCTTAACTGAATAGTTGGATTTGGTATTCAACCATGTAACATTAAAACGACCAATTCGTGCCTGTATCGTTTTTGCGTTAATCTTCGTAATAGCGAGTCATCAAGTAATTTTTCAATCGTTGGTTATTGACATATGCTTGTAAAGTTGTAAAATCTTTTTATACATATGGCACCTTTCAGTGAAACAATGACTTAATTTACGTTTGTAAAATTTACAGAAATAGTTAAAAATGTTGTTTTTTGGGTAGCAGCCAGCTTTAAAGAGCTTTTGAATGTTTTTCTATTTCTAAATACTCGTATATACGAATACTGGGTAAAAAACCGCCTTTTTAAATATTTATTTTACTTTTGATAGCTACTGACTGTAATGAATATTATGACGCTTTTTTCATGATATTCAATTATTTTTTTGTGAAATTACTCCTCTGTTTTTTAGACAATAACTTAAAATGTACGTGTGAGGTACAATAAAAACTTAAATACTAGAAATGAAAACTTAGATTATATTATATGAATAAAATTGAGTCCCAGCGGCAAGGTGCCCAAGATGCTGACAGCGTTCCCCCTTTGTATAACTATGTTAATGCTTTGGACAAGGTAACTGCCCAACTGTCCAACTACCGGCCCTTCCTAGACAGGCTATCAGTTTTTTGGATAAAATTTTGTACAGATGAAGTGCAACGGGACCCCGAGGGCAGGTAGTCGGATCCGATGGTTCGGTATGTATTACTCTTTATTCTTTCCCCCAGCTCAGTTGCCAGCCCTCTTGCTGGTGCACTGGAGATGGAATAGGGCAAGTGTGTCGGCACACGTGGCGTTCCACACCAGTGCCCGGCCCATACTCCATGGGATGAGAGTCATTCTGTCCGGACGTTTGCCATCACACTAGTAAGTATGTAATAAATTAACACAAAGATCGAACTGAGTCAGCGAAGTCGTATGTCGTACATGTACGGTTTCAAGGAGTTGGTTTCTCGTTATCACGTTAGAGAAGTTAAAGACAAAAGACTGTACATAATGTAAATGTTTACATTTCTACGTTCCAACGATCTTGTCTATTTGTATTGTATTCCATTCGAGACATTATTGAAAAATATATTACCTTGGGTCTTCTTCTGTCATAATCCTGATACCAATCACCGCTTTCGGCGTCGTCATCATCGTCGTACGAGTCTTCATCGTCGTCAGCCATGCTTTCTTCATCTTCGAGTACGGTCAGGTCGCCTAGATTCTTGATGGATCCCTTCGATTTATCATTTGACTTCTCGTCTATTGCAGTTGGTACTTCATCATCATCGGCATAGAACTGTAAAGATTAGAAATATGATTTATAATATAAAGAGAAATTAAAAGTGGTTTCGTGATTTTCCATTTTACCTATAAAATTTCAGAATGTTATAAATACCCAAAAATAAACTTCTAGGTATAGTGGCAAGATGACAACGGGTAGATTTACGAAAATAACTTGCCCCATTTTTCAGTGTTATTAAACCAATAAACTTCGCATCACGAGAAAACGAAAAAATGGTGATAAAAACAACACACAGTTCAGTCTACGAAGAATATCAAGTTCCAGAAAATTCTAGCCAGTAACAACGTAGGTAGCACGAATTAGTTAGATCTAAAATAATTGTTAATCAGGAATGCCGCTTGTTGATTGCGTAAACACCCACTGACGTTTGATCCAATAATCTTCTTCGAGAACTTTCCTGATTGATTATTCACGTCTTTATACTATTATTATTTGATGATTTGCATTTTTTGCGCAGAAAAAAATATTTAGTATACTCGCCTTGACCCGCAAATGTAATAATAAGTTAAGTATAGGGATAAACAAGAAAATTCCTTGTGCTACGAATACCAGAGCAACGAATTTTTTGTTTATGTTACCAAGTGACAGGACAAACAAGTCGTGCGCCTGGTGGTCAGCGACACACCCATAGGTAGCAGTTGCAATGCCACTCAGAGCTTCAAACATCCGAAAGGCGCAGCCGCGTCCACGACGCGCCCGTCACCTTGAGTCATAGGTTAACAAGTCCCATGTGCCTGTAATTTCACCCACCCTTACCCTTTATAACCGGAACACAGTAAGGCTCACATTACCGCTTGGCGGCAAAAAAATGTAAGGTAGCAGTACTTCCCTGGACGAACTCTTTTACAAAGAGCTCTACTGCTATTAAAAATTTATTCCAGACACCCACCAGGATCGAAATAGACAAGTTTATTTTTCCCAACTTGGTCCTACCGGGTCCTCCTTATCTAACGCCCACATTACAAACCGTCAGGCCACTGACGACGTCATCGTATAATATTTCTTATCTCGAGTGACGTGTTGCTGAGCTGGCTAAGTGATAATGTGTTTCACTTGATTGATACACTTTCACATCAAATTCCCATTAGTGTATCGAAAGGAAGATTTCTTAAAAAAAAGTTTTTTACGCTTGTTACCAACTTTAGGAAAGTTAACAAACTTACTATAGTGGAATGGAATATTTATGAATAGGTATAAGTAGACGCAAATTACTGATTAATAGAAAATGTTATTAGCATGGTGAAGATTGTAAAATTGTGCCTCTGGCGGTACCTAAATACATACTTAAACCTTGTACAAATTTAAAGGTGAAAAGCTAAAATCTTTGCTTTATTATATTATGCATATTTACGTATCGTCTCTCTCGTCTACAATGAAATATTCTTTATTGTAATTAAGTACAATAGTAGTACGTTAATGTGCATCAGGCGGCTTTATTGCTACGTAGCAATTTCTTCCAGGAAACCTTACTTGTGTTATGGAAATTAAAAACAACGACGATATCACAAACACACGGACGCGAGACAATATGGAAAGTTTTTCTACATTGACGAGATGGCGACACCATGAAAATCGGTGTGCAAGCCACTTGACCACAGCGGTCGTCAAAAAAGATGTTTGTTTTGTATAATATTTGTCCAGTATGCGTTCATTTATTGTTGAACCACAGAAGTTTCTGAAGTATTAAAACCATTTTATAATATCAGGTGAGCCAATTCATTTTCAATCAATTTCAACTTTCAACAAACGATGCACTACCCCCCTACGTGACTCTCTTTTGTTTCAACAAATGTGTCTACAGCCGACGTCACCACAACATCACCAACAAAGTGACACCTGATGTCACATCCTTGGGAGAAGTTTCTGCTTCTCTTCCCCTTTCATAAATCATATAAAAGTTGACACTAGCAAGTATAAGAAGCATTTAAGTGGTTTCGATTACGACATAGCAAAAGGCCTCTTTGAATTGGTCGGTTAGAAACCGGGAATTAATTTTAATTCTCAGTTTAACTAGAACGCGTTTAATTGCATGTAATGAAATGAAATATGAGCCAGAAACATTCTGAGAATTTTATAATTAGTTTCTGGGATAATATGAAAGCTTTTCATTGCAAAAGAAAGAAGCCAGATAATTTACAGGTGGTTTAAATTTCGCTTTTCTATCCCAGTGAATAATAAATGTACAAATTTAAATTATGTACGTAACCATGATTGTTAATATATTTAAACAGGTGTAATCTTTAAGTGTGCCCAAGCAATTATTCCATAAATATAAAAGATATCAAAAACCTTTGAACTGATATCGAAAGTACGTTACCTAATCAGTAAAATGACATCAATAACTTTTTAAGAAAGAAAGCTAGAAATATCCTAAATTTTAACGTTAAGTGCTCGTATGCAGTAGTATAACATTCGTGGAGATGCTTTTATTTAAAAAGCGGAAGTTTAAAGTTCGTCCAGGCAAGTACTGCCACCTTACCTATTTCTGCCGTCAAGGATCTTCGAACGGACTAGTCAACTTATGTCTTAGGGTGTCGGGCGCAGTGCAGGTGGCCTCTGATCTTTGTGATTTAAGGGTCTCAGTGACACTGCAACTGTTAGGGACAGGCGTGACGCTTACCACCAGGCTCACGACTTGTTCGTCCCATCAATTAGTATTATAAAAAAAATACATGTATGAGCACAGTTCACATACTCAATTTAAAACGCTATGAAATGGATATATTACGTTTTCTCTGAAAGAAAAAATAAATAGGGAAAAGGTTTGCACAAAAACGCCTTAGCAATGTTTTTGTTGAGTTCTAGTCTACGGAGATTTAATTACCACATTTATGCGTTTAAATTAGTACAAAGAAAACATTTTTTTACGCCATTTTGTAACAATAAAAAACAAATTTTTTTAATCCTTTTTATCTTTTGTTTTATTTTTCATGTATTGTACGCAAATGATTAACTCAAATAATAACAAAACGTATATATAATGTAGCAATTAGGGCTTTCGTCCCGGATGTTTCTAGCGTGTCAACGATTTTTAACCGACTTCAAAAAAAGGAGGTTGTTCTCAATTCGTCTGTATGTTTCTTTTTTTTTGTATACATGTTACGCGATAACTCCGACACTTGTGAAGCGATTTGGGTGATTCTTTTTTTGTTGGAAATAGGGTACCTCAGTAGTAGTCTCATTGAAATTTGAAAAATATATGCCATCTTTAAGGGTAGCAAACTAGGATATCAATCCGTTTTAACGCACTTTCCGGTAACCGATTTCAATAAAACTTGGCAAATAGATGAAAACGAACTTTTGAGGTCGGTTTTTTTAGTACTCTGAACTGAGATTATTGAAACTCGAGACTGCAGTCTTGGGAATTTTCGAGGCTTTTGAGACTCGATAATTAAACATTATTAAAAAATGTACTAAACTAACATCACTTTTAATCTGATTACATAGACATGGCAACACTGTAGAGTGAGCTTAGTATAATCTGCGGAGATTGAAGAACGATGGTAATAAAATCAGGTCCTTTCGATCTGAAACTATGTACCCTTTGTTTCTTCTGTTTTATAGTGGAGACACCACAAAAATTTTAAAAACTTTCATAAAATATTTGAGTTAATAAATGGCATGAAACTTGATTAAAATTAATATTTTAATCAATCAAAATCAAATCAAATCTTTGGTCAAAACATAATTGTTTTGACCAAAGAATCAATCTACAACAAGGACCGGCAGCTACCTTGCCCAACGCATTAGCATAGCCCTACAAAGGGGGAACTCTTCCAGCGTCTTGGGCACCTTGCCGTGGGGACCCAATTTTATTCATATAATTTAGTCCTAGTTTTAGTTTCTGGTATTTATGCTTTTATTGTACCAAATCTGTATATTTTAACTTATTTATTAAATTAAACCTCTACTACATATATCGATGGTTTTATAAAGTATGGAAATTTTCCCTTAAAATAGTATCAAAAGTCTCGTTTATCCCGGAATTTTTGATAGTGCGATATGAGTCTTAATTATTTTCTCGGGGCGCCAACATGCAGCAAGACTGAAAGCCCTATACATATTAGATAGATAGATAAAAGCTTTATTTACCACCATGACATCAGATACATGATATAGGCATTAACTTATATATAACAATAATGATATTCTTATCTACTAATATTACACTTGGAAGTCATAGCAGTGAAAAAGGCGCTGGCTCAGCATAAATGACGCGGCTGCCCGCGACACTGGTATTCTGCCAGGACCCTATAAGATAGAGACGCCACTCGCAATCCAACGGCAATATTTTACTCTTTAATGTTGAGGTTGAAGCTCAAAAGGAATTAAATGCTCTGTATTATAAATAAAAGCACTGTAAAACGTTTGAGAGATATGAAGCAACGTTTATTTCGAATTTATGATTGAGCGGGCGGTAAAAAACACGAACATCTATAAATATCGTGATGTATGGTTGTTTTGAAGGCCTCGTACAGCATGCGCACAAAGCGTGCGGATAACCGCTTTCAACATGCTGTAGACTTTTAGTTTACGAGTCAATATCTATGCTTTTCAATAATTACGGCTGAAACACAAAATGTTTTTTTACTTATTTTGAATAATTAAACATGACGAAGGAAACAGTGTTTTTTCGTCTTTATTTAATTCGAAATCATTTGCAAAATGACGTGACTTTTTAGGAGAGAGGTTTAAAGCTCCACGAACTGAATAGGTCGATAACTTTTTATGCTTAAATAAGAGTTTTAAAAATTTTCACATTTACGTAATTTGTTTCATGTAGAGCGTATTACTTTTAAGTTCTTTTAACTTTTAACTTCTTGTAACAAATATCACGTGTGGCTTTATTATGCCAAGATAATGTACGACTTGCCTTTCAATTTTAGATACAAAACTCCTACACACTGAGATGTAGGTACTCAGATATTAATTTATTTAGTTATTCATTTACATTGAAAAATTTCAGCTAAATAGCCGACACGCCTACATGTGAT